ATTAAAAGATTTTGTTTTTTTTCTTATATATATTTCACAAACATATTTCTATAAATGTATACATATATACTCTCATTAACAAGTAGACACACATAGACACACATATAACAATATAAAAAAGATCATTCATCTTCATACATAAATTATATATACATTTCACAAACATTATCTATATTTTAATATTTGAAATTTATTTAGATTTTAGTTTGATTCCATAGTTAAAATTTAAATTTAGGTGATTTCTAAAGTGTTTCATATTATTAAAGGAAATTTGCTAATATTATTATTACTAGTTAATAATGGTAAATTTAAATTTAAATTATCATTTTTAAAAAGAAATTCCCTTCAGAAGATAAAAATACACTCAACAAAACTAATTATAGAGCATTACAAGATAAAATGATATCAAATATTAAGAATAGTAAATTTAAACGCCATTATAATGATCTAATTTCTTCTATTTAAAACCAAATCATACCCGTATACACATATATACACACACACACACACATTTACATACACATATATACACATACATACATATATACATATATATATATTTATAATATATATATATATATACCATTTATACATCTATATATACACACATATATATATATATGCATATATATATAACTATTTACAATCTATTATCTATGTAACCATTTATATTCTATATATACACATATATACATACATAAAAAAACTCATATTACACATATATACACACATTCTATATATAAAAATACATTCAAATAATATATATATACATAACTAACATATACACCTGTATATACATTTATATTATATATATATATATAAACCTATTCATATATATATATATATAAATATAAATTCTATGAAAGGAATATTTTGTATAACTATATACATATATATACGATTTATATTAGTTTATATTAAAAAAAAACACATATTATAAATACATGTTGTTATAAACCTATTCCACACATATACATACAATTCTAATATATACACATACAATCTACATACATGCATGTTTACATATCTATACAAAATAAATTTCACACACATGTAGTTGAACACAAAAATATTTATACCATATATATAAACATACCTATTTAAAAATAATGTCACTAATCAAATATTTGCTATATAAATAATAGCGCACTAATCGAATACGCATTATAGGTATTATATATATATATATATATATATATATATATACAGAATACCAGATGCTCCATACAATATGCATTTGTTAAAAAAAATAATACTCGAATTATCAATATAAAGCTGAGTTATCCATAATGTTCATACATATATATAAATAAATTCATATATAAAAAGTCTAAGTTCAACACCCAGATAGGGCTTAATTATCACAGTGTCCATGTAACAGTAATCATTCATTTCAAAAAACAAAATTAATATTTTCTCTTTTATATAGTTGTATCTACACAAAGAATTTGTTAAGATATAGGTATTTTTATATTTATATTATATAAATCAATATATTATGCCTGTTCAATAATATATCCGGATCCTTATATTTTATTATTAATATTTTTATATATAATGCATAAATTGCATCTTTATCTATATAAATTTATCATATATTTTAGCTATTGAGATATATTTTATATTTTATTTATATATTAATTTGTATATATATAATATATATATATAGTGCTTAGAAAGTGCAGTTTGATTCTTCTTTTGATTTATTAGTAAATGCAAATATTTGCAATGGTTATAAAAATATTGATTCCAATTAGTGCTTGTCATATATGGTCTATGTAGTCATCTTCTTCTGTTCAATATCCTCCTTAGTCTTGGCTTGTCATAGCCTAGTCCATCAAGTTTTAGCAAACATACCACCATCTACTGGGAAACAGATCCTTCCCTGCAAGAGAAATAAGTCCTTCTAATTTGGTCTTTAGGGTTATTGCCAAGGATCTTTTAAAATAAATATCAGATTATAAAATTCATTTAAAAAGAATTATTAAAAACGATTCAAGGCATTTTTCTATGTTAAATGATTGAGGAATAACTAATTTTAAATCCATTCTATTTTACATCTTTTTTAATATTTCTCATTTTTAAAATAAATATTTAGTAATTTAAGAAAATATTTTCCTATATTAATATTTCCTCATTCGTGAAAATACAGAATGAGTTTCTACCAAAATTTTCCTATTTCTATTTCTAGATTTGTAGATTGTTTTAATAGATTTATCTATATAAGTGGTGTTTGTTCGAATCTGCTTTTCAAGGGGCAATTGATTATGTTAATTTATTTTGGTCAAAGAGGATTTCACTAGATAGATAACAATTTATTCTAAGAACTTAACAGTTTTCGGGATCTGTTTTATAATTGCATTAATATTTAGGTTGATATTAAAACTATAACGATAATTGGTTTTGCCTTTTGGAATGGTTTAAAGACATTTTGATGTATCAAATGTTACTTTCTAGAAAAACCATTATTTTTATTTTAGATGATATTTCTCGCTTAAAGCCTATTATATTTGAATTATACCCATTTTTTTCTTCTGTAATTATCAAAATGTTACAAACAAATTAGTCGTTAGGTAAAAAAAAAAAAATCATCCCTGTAAAATTGCCCTAAATTTTCGCAGGAATAAAAAATGTTGGAATAAAAAAATCCGGATTCCGGGTCCGGATTGCTTGAGCAGAATGCAAATCCCCATTGGGACATCGGAATTGGATTTATTGCTTTTTCGAAATATTGTCATTAAGTCTCAGTCCAGATTGCCTGGAATCCATTATGATATTTATTTCCTTGTCAGTGATCTCAGTATAATTTTTAATTTGCTTTACGGAGTCGGCCTTTTCAAAAATGGTATGATATGGAGGGTAAAATTCTATAATGTCTAATTTGAAAAAAGTGGCTTTATTTTTTAGATTTTAGATTTTTTGATTATGTTAAGGAGGGGTGATGAATCTTTCCAAACTGTTTATGGGATAATTTTGAAAATATAGATGTTAAATATTCTTTTTAGAATATTGTACCTAAAAATTAATCCTAATTGCAGCTTGATTTTATGGATGGCTTTATTAATCTGGGTCGTCAAATTATTTTTTGAATGCATCATGTTTTATTTAGCTTTAAAAACCCCCCCACGAGGGATCTTTTAAGGCCGAGTTTACCATTCTATCAGAGCCCGTAGGCTCGGCCAAAAATATTCACTTAGAACTTGCATTTTTGGTTCAGGGACCCCCGGACGAAATTTTGCCGCAGACAAAGTTTTTGCCATGTGTCCCACAGCAGCAGAGATTTTGGCAGTAGCGAACAGTTTGGCATCCTTTCCTTGGGTGCATAATTGTTTGTTTTTTTTTTAAATATTGGATCTCTAAATTTTTTATTACTGTTGGTTTTGAACAAAACCATTTTTAGATAATAACCATTTGTTGATTGTGAGACCTCCTCTATCTAGTGTGGCAGAGGCGGCTCCCAGTCCGCGGTGAGTTTTCAGAAAAGAAAAAATAGATGATTATTTTTGTATTTAAAAAAAAAAAAGCGGCGTTAAGAGAAGAGACTTCATGAAGCCAATTTGTTTTCTTTGATATAGCTTCCAAAGCCAACAAGATATCCCAAATAAAAAAAATTTTGGGCCTCTTGAACTCTTTTAAAAAAAAGTAAATAACACTAACCAATTGTTTTTTTTTCCCATCATAAGTTGAGTCTTAATACGGATATAAATTGCCTTTTCTGGAATTATAAAAACAGATTTCCTTTAATTTTAAATAATTCCAATCCTTTTGGAATATCCCCCACCACTGGCCTATTTTTATATAAATATATATATAAATATAAATAAAATTAAAATTATTATTTTTTTTGCAGTTTAAGTTTCAAAAATGGGCATTTCTGTCAGTTTTTCAATTTACAAGTTTTCACGGTAGTAAAATAAAATGTTGTATTTTTTTATTTATGCTTTCCAGAGTTTCATTCTGAAATGAATAAGAATTAAAACCTAGTAGTAACAAAAATTTCAAAAGTTTTTAAATGTAAAAACGAAATAAAATAAACATCAAAAAGAAATTTAAAAGTTTGGCTAACAAAAAAAGGAGACATAAAACAAAAAATAAACATGAAAAGATATTAAAACAAAAGGAAAAATCAAAGCAATAAACTGAAAATCAAAAGTTCAAAAAGTTTCACAAATAACAGAAAGAAAAATGCAAAATAAAATGATTAACTTAACATCAATTGATAGTTCTTCAAAATCGTCATCAGGCAAAACTTAGCTGGACTAAATTGAAAAACCAATAAAAAAATATCACATATTGATCTTTCTTTTAAAATGAAAAACACTTTATATATATATATATAAATATAAGTATATATATATAATTTTTACTGATCTGTCATTGTTTATATGCAATAAATAAATAAACCTAATCTAAGTAGGTCTTCTCTCAACATCAATTGTGGAAGAGGATAAATCCTGGTTAACAGCACCACACAAAAAACTGAGTCTCTTATCAGGTTCACCTGATTTTCCGTTATAAAAAGAAAAATGAATAAAAATACTTCATTTAAAAAAATCAACCAACTTCATTCAGAAATTGAAATCCTATCAAAATAAATGATGAATTAATAATTTTATTTCAGGCCAAATGTTGGATTATTATTTTATTTTATTTTTTTTTTTTTTTTGTTAATATTTTTCATTTTTAAATGCTAGGATTTTATATTTTGTTTGCTTTTGGTGATTGATACTTTTGATTAAATATAGAAAATGAATTAATGAATCCTTTAATTATTTCTACTGATTTCTTTAAAGTTTATGTTGATTATATTATTGCCAGTATATCTGAATTTTCCCTTATTTCTTGGTAGAAAATTTTGTCTTTGTTAATCTTGCTTAGTTTCTATTTTTTATGAATAAAATGTTTAAGTTTTATAAAATATTACTAACTATAAATCATTGAGTGCTGATAAATTAGTTAATTCATTGTTAACATTTTTCTAACCTTTCTCTTACTTTTAGTCAAAGACAAAAAATATCACAAAAAGCAAAGGCAAGGGAAAAACAAGTCATGTGAAAATCAATAATAAAAGAATGAACAAAAAGAAAAAAAAACTCAACAAAAAGAAAATTCAGAATAATGAAATGGAAAAAGTTCTGGTTGAGAATGAAGCAGAAGAAATTCCACTGCAAGAAGAAGATTTTGAATATTTTGGATCGGACCAAGCAGATTTGGCATTTATTAAAAGAGTAAAACACAAGTGAGTAGAGTAGACAAATTGTTTACACTGCAAAAACATGTCAAAATAATGAAATTTCCTTCAATTTTGACTGCTGATATCTTGCTTATTTCAAAACTATTTTGATAAACTTAGTTTGTAAACAAAATTTAATCTTTTCTCTTTATAAAGATAAAATTCTTACTCCTATGTGATGAATAGATTTATTTCATGTCTCTTTAACTTGTCACTATTTCAATGACAGTCACTATTTTTCCACATTTTCAAAGCTGATAATTTCATAGTTTTTTTTTTTTTTTTTTTTTTTAAGTTTGTTACACTTCAAATCCCATCTCATATTAAAATAGTCCTAACTTAAAGAAAAAATGGACACTTGTCAAGAGTAAGCTAAGGTTTAGAGTTCACTTTCACAAGAAAAGTGAGTTAAAAATCTTAGTGGATGAAATATGAGAGAAATTCAACTTTTAAAAAATGAAAATTGCATCTTCTTATAGATAAATGTCTCTTCTTTAATAATCAGTTGGTTTCATATCTCCGTACCCATACACAAACAAATCAAAAAGAGGCTATACTGAATTCAAAACTGTTGGATCTGATGCACTGAAATTTGTATTGCTGACCAAATGAATGAATGTTGCCAGCTGAACCCATTTTCAATCAGATTTACTTCATTGATGCATATTACTGTTTAAATTTTTTCCTTATATTTTTTTAATGATGCATTTTAAAACTGTATAAAGTCCAAATTGTCAAGCTTGAATCACTTTGACATCAATTATTATTTTTATGCATTTAAAAAAAAATTAAACAATTCATATTATAAAAAAACTAAATTTGTTCATTTGTGCACTTATTCTTGACTTGCATCTAAACATCAGAATAAGTTGCAGCATTTGATTTATAAAAAATTTGGGTGTTCTGCTAATCCTAGTATTGGTCAAAATGTTCTGAGTCTTTCTTTGTCTCGGTTGTCCATGCGAGAGCTCTTGGTACTCTTGCATGGATTGGATTTTTGTCCCCCCCACCTCGCATATTAATTGAAAAGAAATTTATTCACAGTTTGAAGTTTTGTTTGCCCAGTTAGCCAAACTAAGCACATTCTTACACAGGTACTCTTGTTACCTTTAGTGAATCAAAGTGGAACAGAGAACAATATCAAGTAATTAAATCACTATGTCGTAATAAGTCTTTGGTAATTATGAAACCTGAGAAAGGCTCAGGTGTCATCAATCTTGATTATCAAGATTATGTAAACAAGATGATGACTATTCTTAAGGATTCTTTTAAATTTTTCCAGTTAGACCCAATAGGTAAATTTGATTCTATATCTTCTATTGAGGCTAAGTTCCAAAAACGTCTAGTCAAGTGGATTATAAGTGGGAAATTGCCCATTACATTTCTAATTTAATTAAACCTTTGAATTCTATTTGTCTGCATCTCTATGATTTACCCATATAAGGTTGAGGTTACATTGAGACCTATTTTGTCCATGATAGGGTCCTCTTGACATAGTGTGGCCAAATGGCTTACCACCGTATTGTGGCCAGTTTTGGAACAGTATAATTCTTCTTGTATTAAAGATTCATTTGAATCTTCTGACTTTTATACAGCATTATCCGTTGACTGACAAATTTATGTGTTCCTATGAAATTTCCAGCCTCTTTACCTGTGTCCCTCTCGCTGAGGCTATTGATATATGTGCTGCTGTCTTATATCGAAGTCAGTTGTCCCCGAGGATATTTTTGTCAAAATTATGAAATTTGCCACAATGTCAGTTGAATTTAGTTTTGATGGCATCATGTATAGTTAAATTGATGGTGTTTCAATGTGTTTTCCTTTAGGACCCATTTTAGCTAACATCTTTGGAGGATTCCATGAAGAGACTATTATCTAAATCTAATAAACCTGATGTTTACTTCTGTTATGTGGATGACACTTTTTGTCTCTTCAATAACAAGACTGAAGCAGACCATTTACTTTTGTCCTTGATTAATATTCATCCAGTTCTCAAATTTACACAAGAAAAGGAAATTAATTTTTCCCTTCTCTTTCTTGATGTTTTGGTTAGCAGAACTTCTTCGAGTTTTCTTACTTCTGTTTATTGAAAACCAATGTTTAACAGTTTGTATACCTGTTGAGACTCTTTTTGTCCCATAAAACATAAAATAAATTTAATTAAGATCTTTACTCATAGGACCTTAATGATCTGCTCTAAAGCCAAGCTAGATGATGAACTCAAGTTTATTACTACCACTCTCTGTAACAATGCCTATCTGTCGGGCATTGTTCAATCAGTAATTAAGAATAAAATTTTGAAATTCAATAAAGTTAAACCAGCTATAATGCAAAGATGTCTTGTGTACCTACACCTTCCTTGGCTAGGTAGTATCAGTGATAGATATGCTAAACAGGTTTCTTCAGCAGTTCAACATTGTTACTGCTAACACTCATGTTGTTTTTTTCTGCCACACCTGTCCTTCCACCCATGCAGAAAGATGTTCTTCCTCTGAATCAGAATAAAACAGAATGTACCAACAAAAATCCGAAACCTTAAGTATTCTCCATCAGACATTCTGACCTACACATACAAGTCTTCCATCATGGATCACCTAATAAATAACCATAATTGTGACACTAATTTCATTGTGGACTCATTTTCCATCCTTAGTAAGTCCCACTCAAGATACCACCTGAAAATATTGGGGACCATATATATTTTGTCCTTGAGACTTTTGTTATGCAAACAGAAGGATTTTGTACTGTGCCTCCAATTAATTTCCATTTAAGAATTTTTTTCCTTATCAAATGTTGTCCATCTTTTTATTGATAATTGTATATTTATTAACCTCGATTTAGTGAGGTTCAAAACTGGTTAGCTAGCTTGTTTTTCATTTTTTCCTTTTAATTGTTATCATGAGTGGTAATAAATACAAATTTTGCTTATTTATGGTGGTCATTAAATAGATAAAATCTATAAACTGGATATATTTTTAGTTCTTGAAATTTCACATTCCTGTTTGTCCATAAAGAATTAAAGTAACATTTTTAAAGAAGTGTCCAGTTTTCCTTTTAATGGAACTTCAGGAAGAAGGAAAGGAACTCAGTAAATCTGAGTATTCAAACAACTCTAGCATTTGTGATGAAGAACTTCAAATGACCTTCAGTTACAAGTGCCAAGGCCAATGTTGCAGTATACTATTAATCCAACTTTTACATTGACAAAGTCATTGATATTATACCTCTATCCAGTGCATTAATCAAATTTTTGGTCTGGATAAAGGCAGAAATTATTATTTTTGATGACTTTTGTTGGATGTTAATGCACAAGTGGCATCAACATTTGTCTTTAGATGTGTAATGACAATGGCTTATCTCCCTGACAAAAGAAGTACAAAATCGCCTGTGCTATACACGGTCATGTAAATTACCTACTACATTAGGACTAATTAAATGCCTGTAGGTGGGCATGAAAAAATCTGTATAACTGAATGAGGCACACATAAAAGCTGGCAGATTTTGTCTTTGCAGGGAGAAGGATTATGGATGGTGAGGAATACATTTGAACAAGCCAGCTGGACAAGGACAAAAATGTGGCAGTGAGGAATGTAAAACGGATTGCTACAGATATATTACAAATATATTACTACAATATGGAACTTTGATAACATACCACTTTCAAGAGATGATAGGATATGGAGTGTTCTAGGAATATTGTTTATAGCAGAGGCTTATAAACAAATTCAAAATGCAAATCACCATTAGAAAAGAAAATACGGGCGGAGGATGCTTCTGGTCCAATAGCACATGAGACAAAAAATGTTTTAATGAATTTTGAATGGTCATAACTTTGTTTCTAATTGAGCTATCAAGTTAGTTTTTAGATATATTGAAAATTAAATTTTAGTTTGGGGAAGCTATTAATAAGGAAGTTACAAAATTCAGATGCATCTACAAGTAATATTTACTGTTAAATTTATCTCTTTACAACTCTTAAAACTGACCAAACATTTTAATGTTGATAATTCATCTTATGCTTTACTATTCAGCCTTCTTCGGGTGTCTGTCACTTTACTCAAACTTCTTGGAATTTTAAAACAAACCTCTTATTCACTTTTGTGTTACTTGTCCATTTCTTCCACAGAACAAGAGTATGTGACTTTTTTTTTTCTACCAAACCCAGATCAGCTCACAAGAGAAATGTAGTTTTAACTAATGTTTTAATCCACGAGTCTACTGTCTGTTAGTGCTCAAATTTTCAAGACTTAAACATAATGTCTATTCAAATGGTGGATCTATATTTATCTTGACCCAAGAGGTGGAAATTTTTTTAATATCCTAACTCACTGGTAATACTGAAAAGTCATGTACTCTGGCTCAGTGGAAGAAATAATTAATGAGAACATGTGGATTGAATAAAGGCTGCCATTTGAAATTCCACAAAAGTTAATAAGTACACTGACAATCCAAAATGTTGTGAGTATAACAATGAAGATAAGCATGCTAGTTCAACTAGGAAACATATAATACTAATTCCTCATCTCGAAAAATTACAACAAAAGTCATATTTGTATGTATTTGACTTATTTATGAATTGCAATTATTTCAAGTGGAACACAAAGGTAAAAATTCTTGTTTCTGCTACAGAAATGAACAACTTTTGTCTATACAATGACGGACGATGCTTGTATAAAATCATATTCATTTTATTTAGTTTAGTTCAAATTTTGAATTATTTTATCTTCCTTTTTAAAGATAGATTTAGTTTGTTATAAGCAAATGAATGACATTTTTATCTAATTGTTTGCAATTTTCTACCTTCTACAAAATTTTGAAAAATTCTTTTACCATCACAGATTATGTTCTTTATTTTAACTTATTGTTTTATTTAATTATTATTATTTAAGAATTGTATTACTAATAATAATCACTCTACCTACATAATGTGTTATGATTTTATCAGTTAACTAGCATACATTACTTGTCACCTAATTCAAATATAAGTAAATATTGCTTGGTCATATCTAAGGTGTATTCTTTACTGCAGCTTTGGTATACGACAAAAGAAAAAAACTGAATTTAATGAAGAAGCATTCTATGAAAAGGCTTCAAGAAACAGTTTTTATCAGGAAGACGATAAAGTTTACAAGCCTTTATTGCCTGTAAAAATTAACAACAAACTTATTCCACAAGTTCAAGAGGTTGCTGCTAATAAAAGTAAGTAAACACTGTTCTTAATATTGCTTTCTTCATATCTCTCAGAAAAGATTAACTAATATCTGTTTTCATCACTTCCACTCCACTTAGATTTGAATTCATTTAGAACCAATTTACTCTTGATGAGTTGCTATAAACAAATTTTTAATTATATAAATACCAAATGAGAACTGAATACTTATAAATTGTTATATCTACATAGAAGTTAATTGTATGTAAATCAGCAGCAGGTGGCTTGGCACCACTGCTGGTTAAAAGTGTTTTGATCCTGGAGCTGTATTTAAGCTCTGCCAATTTCTCCTTTGTCAGGTTTTGTATTAGGTCTCTGGTGAAGCATTGTCACTTTTAACAAGAAATTGTTATTCCCTTCTTTTGGATTTTGTATCTGCTCTTACATAAAATAATATTCAAATATTTTAATTACTCATTGATGACTAATTCATTTTGTTGTCCTTGAAAAAAAGATTTAAGGTGTTCATTAGAAGTTAATTTTGATAAAAACGTTATTTGGTCCTTAAGAACCTGTATAGATTTTTTTTTTTTGTTTAATTTTTCAAAGATATAGAAATTGAAGAAGATGAATGCAAAAAGGAAGATGCACAATTGGAGGGAGTGGAACATAATGTTTGTGCTGCAGAAGAAATGTTTGAAAAGAAACAGAAATTGGCAGACACCAAACAGAAAATGGCTTTAGTTGCTCTCTCTATTATTGAGAATCCACAAGAGAAGGTGAGATAATTTGGCACTGATTCAAGTTTTTGTTATTTCTTTGTTCATAATTTCTTTTAGAAATCTCTTCCCTCCCCAATTACTAAAGAATGTCAGTCTTTTTGTTACAAATCTACAACCATTTCACAATTTTTCCACTGTACTCATATCCATCAAAATGCATAGTAATAAAAAATTTAAATTCACACTTATTTATATCAATTTAGTACAGTTGGTGCTTTTATTGATCCAACTAAACACAGACAAATGAGCTATATAGACAGTTTCTACCAACATATGCTATCTGCCTTAATTCATTTAAATTTTTCTAATAAGTAGAAAAACTTAATTTTGTTTTTTCTTTTCAGTTTAGTGGATTGCGGCAACTAAGACTTATACTTGAAGATGATGATGCAGAGTTAAAGGTGATAGTTAGAAAACTTGGCATGGTAACTTTAATGGAAGTGTTTAGGGACATCATTCCTAGCTATAAGATACGCAAGTTAACTGATAAAGAATTGCAGCAAAAGGTTTGATATTTTTTTTTTATTGCAAATGAGTCTCATCAATTCACTGCAAGAAATTTGGTTTAGTAAGCAAATCTTACTGTATTATGTATTATTCTTTCAGTAATAATATTTTTTTAATGTTATGAGTTTTTTCTTTATTAAACTGCTGCTAATTTATGCACAAAGAACCAAATAACTTTTATTAAAATTTTGTAAATAGGATATTAACCTAAAAATGTGAGATTAGAATGTCTGTTCAATTTCATTAATAAATTTTGTAAAAAGATGATATTGAAAGAAAATATTTTTAAAAGATACAAGTACAGAAAATAACTAGAATATACCATAGAAGCTTTCCAAAATTACAGCAATGTTTTTTGTAACATGATCTCATGATTTCATTTTTCTTTCATCAGTCAGATGTTTTCAGAAATGGTTATAAATCAAACTGACAGTACAGTTTCTTTATTTAATTTCTAATTTGAAAATGCCACCCATTTCATAAAAGGTATCTTTAATTTACTTTTTAAACATTAAAAGCTTTTATTAGATGAAAATATGAGAATAAAAACAATGTTTTGTGAAAGTGATTGAACAATGTAAGGAAATTTATGGGAGCTGATGCTTTTTTATTATTATTATTTTAGACCTCAAAAGAAACAAAATCTTTACAAAACTATGAAGAATCTTTGCTTGTTTCCTACAAGCACTATTTGGAATATCTGTGGTCAGTTGTTTCAGGTATTTCATTATTATATTTTTCTAATTTTTTTGTACTTTTAGCTGATTTTGCAAGACTTTTGTGTGGTATGTTACTAATAATGGCATGATTATTGCAGTTTTCTTATTAAGATTGTAGGATGAAACCTTTATAATAAATGAAAGCTGGTTATTGTTTAATGTCAGTGATAATGTGTTAAATCTCTACTAGCAATTTATTTATCTTGCTGCTATTTTATTTTATAGTTTTTTTTTTTTTCAAGATGAGTTAACCTTCCTGATTTCTTTTTAAATAATTGTTATATTGAATAACTTTTGAGATTTTAATTAGCTATTGTTTTGTTTGAATTAACAATCAACAAAGCCTGAAAGTATGATAAATAAAGAAATTTGTTATGCAAAAATCCTTTTAGCAATGACAATTCTTTTTCATTGAATCATATATGGGAATTTTTTATTTCCCTACAGGTGAACTCTCTCTATTTGAGGATTTAAAATTGTTTAAATTAGATTCCAGAATATAAAGACACACATTTTTACAAATTGACAAAAAAGTTGGATTATATTTATTTTACAGCAATGTGTGCATGTGACCTGTTAAAGTTGAAATAATTTTATGAAAAAAAGAAATTATATTATTTTGTTTATTTCAGGGGCACAACAAAAAACTGAATATTCAGATATAAATCAACAGGATCACAAGGTAAAAATAGTTTCATTAATGTCATTCATTTTTCTGGTAGAATTAAAAGTAATTAAATGATATCATCATCATCATACAGCACACACCATGGAAAATGTTCTGTTGTATTTTCTTCTTAAAAGTTCTATTATTTTAAGCACTAAGGAATATTTTCTAAAAGGAATTATCTTGCTATATCAAGTAAACCTGCAATATTTATGTTTCACAAAGCTTCTACATGAAAAAATTATAAAATCTGATGGAATAAAATTAGCAAAATATTTTCAAGCATAAAATTTGCAGTTTCTTTTATTTTTACTTTAGTATAAATTATTTTGTTCATTCTGCTATTATGCCATTCAAAATACCTGAACTAAAGTATAGTTTAGATTCAAAAACTATAACTGATTTTTTTTCTTTTTGTAATAATAAATGTCCAATTTCTGTGGAATAGTTGTAAATAAAGCTGAACACAGAATTTCACAAAGTATATTCTTTCCTTCTTTTCTTGTCTATTCCTTCTATTTTAGAAAATAAATCAACTAAGGGAGTATGTAAAAGAAAATTTCATTTTAATTATAAAATTTAGATTTTTACACAATGACTTAATGAATCATTTTCTAATTGTTTTAAGTTGAAGATTATAAATCAATTTTATATACTTTTTAAAACAGTTTTTATATACTTTTTAAAAAACATTTTTTTATAGTTTTTTATATTTTTAAAGAAGTCTTTAATTTTGCATTATTTTATTTAATGTCCATTTTCTTTTAATCCAATCTAAGAAAAACTGATTACTTTCTAACTCACTCCCATGTGTTTCTAACACATTTGTTTAACCATGTTGCCTCATGCTGTTTCCAAAGAATATTAAGTGGTTAATTTGATTCTATTACTTAAAATATTTTCTAATTTAGTTTATCATGGATAAGTGATATTTAAAAAGCGTTATTGAAATAATTATTTTGGAATTTTTTCCTCCAGTCTTTGCTCACCATAAAGTTAGTGACTTTATTAAAATAATACAAATAAAGTATTTTTTTAATTTGTTTCATTTCATTTGTGTATCTTTGTTTTTACAGTTTGGATTAACTTTTCTTTCCCTTTGATATTATTTTTCATTTTAGTATGTTATCATTTCACAAACTTGGCACCTAAAATGAACTGTCAAATTTGTGAAGGGTTGGCTACTATTTAAATTAAACTTACTGTCTATTTGTATTCATGAAAATTGCTATAAAAAATATATATTATTGTTTAAAAACATAGTGCTTCAGGAAACATTTTAATTCAATTTTATTATTGTTATCAGATGTATACTTTCACAAGTCATGAATTAATCATGCAATTTCAATAGATATTTTTAAAGGATGAAAAATGTTAAATGCTTTTTAACATGGTAACATTTGAATATTGTTCATAAAAAAAGTTTTTGTAAATTTGCACAATCTTGAAGTGCAAATTACACAATTTCAATTTTTCCATTAATTCTTTATTTGCAGTATACATATATCAAATTTCTATGAAAATGTCCTAAACTGAAATAAAATATATGGTGATATTAATTTTATTTGATGTACCAGTGGGATAAAATTTTGCTACACTGATAAAAAGGCCATTAGGCAAGATTCAGTTTCTTTTTAAAAACTAAAATATTGTATTCAAGCTAATGATTTTAGTTGTAGGCTACTTGAGAAATATTTATTCCTCTAATAGACTTCATCTTATCAATGTTCATCTGTTTGTAATTATTTTGTTTGCAAAATGTAAATTGTTCTTGAAAGTAATGATTCTTTTAATTTGAAATATTTAATTACAGATTATGAAGGAAGTTGCTATTCAATGTCTTTGTGAATTGTTGATCAACTGCCATCATTTCAACTTCAGGAAGGATTTGATTTCATTTGTAGTGCCATGCATGAATCTCTTCAACAAAAAGGTTATTTTCACTTATCCACTTTGTAGCTCATTTCATTTATGTTTATTTATTATTTTCACATTCCTATAAATTCTTTCTGTCATCCTCCCCCAAATGAAAAACTTATTAATATTCAAATAATGTTAATTTTCAATAACCAAAAAGGAATTCATTAATAAGGAACAGTGTGAGTTTTCCTGTTTGTTTATCTGTCCATAACAAGACTCACCCATTATGGAGCAATTATTAGCAACCTGGTCTTAGGAGAAAGTATGTGATCATAACACAAGGCACACGCAGCTCATCATTGTTATTTTACCACAGAATTTTCTTTTTTTTTTTATTAAAAAAAAATTATGCCAACATGTAAATATGTTATTTATTTATTTAAGTTCAGATGTATTTGAATATTAATAAATAATAATAGAAAGATATTATTAGATTTACAAACACAAGCAACACTTTTCCAGAACCTAATTGCATCCTAGGTAAGAGCTGCACAGTATTTGAGACACCTTTCAGAGTTCTGTCATCTTTGGAGAAAAATATTGTGTAAACAAGGTGAAGAGATATATATATTGTAAACTCTCTCTCTCCCTCTCTAATTTATCTGAAAATGCTTTAATATGCTGAATATTAAAATATTTTCTATCCCCCTCCCACTTGATTCTCATTAAATTTTATTTATTACTATTTCAAAGTGGAATGTTTTCTTATAATGTTGCTGAGAGAAGTTTCCATTCCAATATATTTGTATCTAAATTAGCTGCACAACTAAAATAGTTTTAATTTTTTATTTAGGCAATAAACTAAATCATAAAAATGGCTACAGCAGTTTTGCTGAATTAAAATTTAACCTTTAGCTCATAATTAATGTCACTGAATTGCATTTTAAAAAAAAGATTAAAAGAAATGTTCCAGTAATTTCAGATATACAAATTATTTTAAAAAAAGGAATACTATCTTTCTAAATAAGGAGGTATTTGCTTGTAATGATTGTGAACATTTTTTTACAAGTGAATTCTCTTGATGTTATATGCCTCATTGTAATAGTTGACCATTACTATTAAGTAGAGTGTTTAATCCGCACTGGGTGCCTCATTCAAAATTTCACATTAAAAGGGTTGATGTCATAAACTCAACCAATCTAATCTTAATGCTAGCTTTACAAATATGTTGCATTCATTGATGCAATCCTAAGACTTAACATTCACTGCTGTGTCATTTTTATTACCAAATTTATTTTGTTTAATAATTAATAAACATTTATGCATATATCTGTTGTATCATTTCTACTGAAGTATTCAAAACAAATATTGTTCTTCTGTATCTGCCAGGAATAAATCCTAGTTTAATTCTTTGCAGGGATCTGAAACTGCATGTGAGGCTATAAAACAAGTGTTTCAATCAGACAAACTTGGAGCTACAACACTTGAGGTGAGTGGCATTCTGTCTTGAAAAGTATTACATCATGATTACCTGCTGCATTGTAATCCAACTGTAGTTCATAAAAATATTTCTTAGACCAATATTTTCCAAACAACCTCATTGAAATATTAATTGGTTTGTAAATTGATTTGCAAGTCATTGTTGATCAAAAGGACCCAGATAAGTCTATACATTGTTGTCAACAAGATCATTTATAACTTTACAAGAATTCTTGGAATCTAAACTCCAATATTATTAAACTCCAGATATTTTTCTCTATCTTCCTTGTTGAACCAATGTTCAAATATTTGTAAAAAGGTAAACACTTGATAAAAATCTGAAAGATATTGCAGATAAGGTAAAATTTTGAACTTCAATGCATTGCGCTTTTACAGTATCATTTGTGCATGTAGGTGAACACTTAAAGAGACAAAAATGGTTCTCTTTGACAGATTAATACAGGCTTTATCTTGTACAATTTCTGCTCCCTAATTCCAATTTTTAGCAGTAAATATTGGTTGTGATATTCTTTCTTCTTTGTGGCAAAAGACTTCAGATTTTTATATAACATTCAATTGCTAAATTTCTTTACTTTTCCAATTCATTTCAATCGTTTTGAAATTCTTGACCTTAACTAAACTCATTGAGATAGTTGAATAATAATGTGCTTTACTGATGTTGTTAATGACTCCTGTTTCAGTCCTTTAGCAAAAGTTGTAATATTTTTATTCTGCTGAGAGACTTTCATTTGTTCCAACAGCACATACAGTCTCAAACAAAATACAATTTAAAATGTTTTGAGATTGTTGACCTTGAAAGTTTTTAATTTTGGGACCATTTCTCAGTTTGCTTAGGATACTCTTTCATGACATCTTTTCATTTGATCATTTATAACTAGTAAGATACCTCTGCTTTTTTTATCTTCATTATAAAACTTGAAAGACCAATAATGTACTGTAAGTTTTGAAGTAGAAGCTTCACTTTAAGATTGATTAATGCCACAGACTGTCTGAAAAGCTTTATTATCAAGTTTGTTTATACAACAAGATTCTTTTCTGTCTAACATTTCAGGGTGTTAAACATTCAAATTATTATCTATGAAAGAAAATCAAATCTATACAACAGTAGTTGACAAAATATGAACTACAGAAATATTGAGTATCTTTTGCATCCTTCCTAAGAGGGGGCAGTTATAATAAATTTTATCTAATATTCTCTAATCTTGTTTTGCATTCTCAACTGGGATATTTCAGTTAAACTGTTATTATAAATTCTTTAAAATTGATAATATCAAAGAAAGAATTTTGCATTTTTGTAAATTCAATGTTTTTATGAACAAATATACCAGTATGTACTTTTAATATGCCAGTCATAATTATAAAATAAATTTCCATAATAAAACTTATAAATGCTGTGTATTTACTTTGAATTTAGATACCACTTTTGAAATTGTTAGGTGAACTTCTTTCAACTTTCATAGTGAAAAAATTTCTTAGCATTTAAAATCAGTTAAAACATTTTAAGTACCATATTTAACTGCATATAAAGATGCACTATTTTTGTTTAGTTTTTTTAAAAATAAAACATGGCTAAGATATCTGAAATGTGAAATTGATGTCTCTTATAGGTGATAATTTTATCTCAGTTACTTCTACCAAACCTGACTTCTTAATAATATTCACTCAAATGTTATTATTACTGGTACTGTAAAAAGAATTATTATTAATAAAGTACCAGTAACTTTCTGTTTTATTACTTTAATCATGTAGGATATTTTCACTATTGTGATTTCTTGCTTCATGTTCATCAGTACAGCTAAGTTGATTTCTTATGCCAAATGTTGGAGGGGGCTCTTATGCTGTCAAATACTGTATCTCTTGGAAAATCATCATTTTGTGCACAGAAAAATCAGAGTAGCAGCCATCATGCAATAACCTTTCACAAAGTGGTATCAAATGTTACATTTTTTCTTAAATACGCTTGTTAAAAAACAGTTCTAACAATTTTTTTCAGTTTTATATGTAATAAATTTGTTTTGTGCCTCTGACAAACATGTGCTTCTATTCCGAATTTACTTAATATAAGTACAATTTCTGTATTTAAGTACTGAGCAATGGATGGGTATAATTTGTTGTATGTTGCAAATATCCAAAGTTTGCAGAGACTGTGTTGAAGAAAACATGCATTTTAATTATTCAAAACTAGAATGTTGTTTATAACGGTAAGGAGTTATGTCCATTAAAACATTTCTTCAGATTTTCAAATCGTTAATATCTTTTTCCAGTTTTATTTACTTTGTGCATTAGCTTTTGTAATCACTAAAATTCTGCTTAAAACTTATGCACCAAGATATCTTCTAATTATCTTGTTAAAATTAAAGCCTAAATTTTTAATCAGCTTCTTTTTCTTATATTTTAGATTGTAAAAGCCATTGAAAATTTTATCAAAATCAAGAAGATGCAAGTAAGACCATCAGTAAGGAAACCCTTTTTTTTTTTTTTTTTAATTGTTGTGCATACTTTACTGATATATCACCTGATCATTGATAGAAATTTTGATTGATATGCATAAGAAAAAATATTTCAATCACTGTTTTTGTAAAAATTGTTATATGTTGATTGCTCAAATATTAAATAGTTTATAATTTAAATTCCAATTCCAATCCCTAGTTTGTGTCAAAAAAATATGAAATACATTATTTTTATTAAATAAAATATGTTAGGTATATTCTTTTAAAATAGATGTTTCATACTTAAAAGTTTTAATAGTTTGGGATATGAAATTAAATGGATCATAACTATTTAGAATTACACTATTAAAGAGCTTAAGTAAGTGTTAAAATGGATGCTATTAATTAAATACCAGAATATTTACAGTACCTTAAAATAATAATGTTGATTAGTCACGTTTATCATTATTGTAATGATGAATGTGTCAATTGATTATTTTGTCTACAATTTTAGTTATTCTTTCAAATTGATTGTTTTTAAAACTTGAAATAACACTTTTGATGTTTTAATTTGATTTTATTATTATAGGAAATGTAAACTTTCAGAACTCAGTAGCCTTGTGATCAAAATTCTAAAAGGTTCTGTCTATAGAAAGAATGTCTACTATCTGGAGGTGTTTCACACTTTCTATTTGTTGAGTTAATATGTCCATGAAAACTATAATATTTACTACATATGCCTTACTCATAAAATGTGTTCATTTTTCTTTTTTATAGATGTTAAATACATTTCTATCATTGAAAATCAAGGAAATCGAGACAAATCCTGTAGCAGGAAAGGTGGAAAAAGAAAAACGAAAACGGAAAATGATGAATATGTCCCGCGGTCAAAAAAAGGTCATCTTTTTTTTTTAAAATATTGTAAATCATCATTTTTATTTTGCTATATAATAAATATTTTGTAATGCTCAACAAATTTTGGTAAACTTAATGCTACTTTCACATAGCAGCAATTTGCTCAAGAAAAAAATGGTCTTTATTGAATGTTTTCATTCCCAGGAATCTTCATTTTGCCTTTTTCTTTTTATTATATTCCTAAATACTTGTTGCACATTCTTGAAAATCATTTCAAGACAGTTTTCACTTATAAACACTGATTTTTTTTTTTTTTTTTTTTTTACTAATTTCAAGAAAATTATCAAAATTAAAATAATAAAACTAATTCTCCCAAACCAAGGAACAATTAAAAACATTTTCAAGAAAAAAAATAAGCCATACTTAGAATTTTTTTTCTTTTTTTTTTGGGAGCTTTACAGATATTTCTGATTAGATTGTCAGACAGGTTTTTGAAACTTGAATTTAATAACTATAATAAACCTTGATGAATAACATTTTGTTTCATTTGCAGCGAGAGAAGCAAATGGAGCAGTTGAGACAGGAACTTTTGGAAACGAAAGCCTATGAAGACAAAAAGAAGAAATGTGAATTTGTGAGTAAAATTTGATTTCAGGTTATTAATTTTCTTGAAATGCTAATGACTCTCATTAAATTTAATGTTGGGCCACCTTCAGTAGGTAAATAAAAGTGACGGCAGAATATATCTAGTGTAAAGTTCACTTTTGTTTTGTTGGCATAGATGCCCTGACCCCAGGTCCTCACCAGACTCACTCCAGACTCAAACACAGAAACAAATACCAGTGAAACGGATCACATTAATTACTTCATACCAAAATACAACTAAAGACAGCTAAACCAAATAAACTTTGGTTTAATGAAAAATGTAAGAAATCAGTCAAAACCAAATACAAAGCTCTGAAAAAATTCCAAACATATCCAACAAAAGAAAACCTAAACCAATATAAAAATAACTGGGTCATAGCTAGATGAACAATATAAGAAGTCAAAAGATTAACCTGGAAAAGCTTTGTAGCAAAACTAAGTAATAACTCCAAAATAAAAACAGTCTGGAAGATAATAAAGAAAATATCAGGGAAAAACAATGACACAACTTAATTACCTACCTGAAAACAACAAAGAAGCCACAAACAAAAAAGATGTGGCAAATATGCTAGCCAAAAACTTTGCCAAAAATTCATCCACTGATAACCTAAATGAGACATTTCAAACAAGCAAACAAATGCAGAGAAAAAGAAATTAACTTTATATCCAATAATGAAGAATATTATAACAAACCAATCTTTATGGAAGGACTACATTATTATCCAAAATGCATAACACAGTAGCAGGAAATAATGAAATGCAATATGAGTTTCTAAAGCAACTTCCCCCATCATCCATGAACTATCTCACAAAGATATTCAATGATATATGGATCATTGGTAAAATCCCATCATCTTGGAAACAGGCCACCATAATACCTATTCCACAAGGTCATACAAAACAACTCAATAACTAGGAATCCCAAGATTCAAACCCATCAATAGTATTTACCAGTCTGCATTTGCAAAACTCTAGTAAGAATTATTAACAAAAGACTAATCTGGTACCTAGAAGCTAACAATCTAATTACCAAATCCCAATCAGGCTTCAGTAAGAAGTATAATAGATAATATAGTTAAATTGAAATCATTTATAAGAGAGGCACATATACAAAAACAACATGTATCTGCAGTTTTCTTTGACAAAGAAAAATCATATAACACAAAGTAGAAATATAGTATTATGAGGGATTTAAAAAAAAAACCTAGGCTTATCAATTATAATAGAAAATTTTCTAAATGAAAGATATGTCTCAGAGAAAGTCAGATATAAAGAAACAGGAACTGGGAGATCTACAGGGAAATATACTCTTGGTCACATTATTTAGCATAAAAATAAATAATATTGCTAAAAACATAAACACTGAAACAGATTGCTCCCTTTTTTGTAGATGACTTTTTAATATGTTATAGGTTCAAATATTATATGCTCCATAGAATGGCAACTCCAACTATGTATCAACAAAATAAACAGATGGGCTATGAAGAATGGTTTTAAGTTTTCCAAGGAAAAAACCAAAACCATACATTTCTGTCAGCTACAAAAAATTACACAATGATGCAATACTTAAAATTGATGTCTCTACAATACCCACTGTAGATGAACATAAGTTCCTGTGTATCATTTTTGACAAAAAACTGTTGTTTATACCACATGTAAAGAAACTAAGAGAAAAATGTAACAAAGCCTTACAACTGTTGAGAATGATAGCATGTAGAGACTGGGATGATGACAAAAAGATATTGTTGAAATTATATAGGAGTATTATTAAGATTAAAATTGGACTATAGATGCTTTATATATATATATATATATATATATATATATATATATATGAATCAGCTACAAAAACATACCTCAAAACATTAAATACCATCCATCACCAAGCCCTGAGATTGGCACATGGGGCCTATAGTACCACACCAGTGCAAAGTCTATATACAGGGTCATATGAAATATCCCCAGAACTTATAAGGCAAAAACTGGGTCTCCAGTACTATCTTAAACTAACAACATATATGTGTCCTTTATACCCTCAATATACAAATCTCTTTGATCAAAGAAAAAAGGTTATAAAACCATTCAGCTTACGAATGAAGGAAATCCTTTTAGAAACCCAAATAAATACTAACATAATCCACAATTCCATTACCTCAAAAATACCACCATGGTTAATTGAACAGTTAAAAATAATGAAAACGTCCCAAAAACATAACAAACCCAATTATATATCAAGATGAAAGGCTTGGTATAATAAACCAACATCTGGATCACATTCAAATTTACGGAGATAGACCAAAAAAGAGAATAAAAGTCCAATGCACTACCATACTTAGCAATAAAAAAAATCATAAAATGATTACCTAATAATACCTTGATATACACAGCCATCAGCTTAGCTCTTGACAGCAAAAATACAAAATTTCTTATTTCCTCTGATTCTTTCTCAGCACTTATGGCAAATAAAACATTTTAAAAAATCTGATCACTACAAAAGTACTAAATGAAATCCAATACATGCAAAAAAATTGTTCTGGGTATGATGATAAACTGCATCCAGCTGCAAGGCCTCTGATCAGGAGGTTTTGAGGAGTGTGGAACTGCCTCTTAGTTGCTGTTGTTCCTTAGTCCACCCTGACCCATAGTGGTAGCACCTGTTAGGGTCGCAAGTATGTGTAAATAGTTTCCCCACTCCCTTGATCTGGAGTCTGAATACTAGGAAAGTGTAAGAATGGGTTTTTGTAATAATAATACCACCAAGACAAATTGCAGTATATAAAGTGCACATTCACAAAACCAATTTCAAAAAACTAAAATTTCCCCTAAATGGAGCCACCTGTTTGCCATGGGTGGTGACCTGTGATGCCTGAGGACGGAGTCCTGGTGACTGAGTGACTCCTGATCTGGTATAAAATGACCAGGAATTTCCACAACACGTCACTTCAGTCCCTACCTGGGATAGAATAGCCCACTCCATTCCACTTGGCTAGTCACATAGTGGCGAGGGCTAGTTGGGATGATAGATAACGTGTCCGACAGGGCTACGAAACCTTACATCATAGTAGATGGGTAGATATAGTGCAGGTGCTTGTATCCATTCTCATCACAACTATACTGTCTGTGTAGCCTTGGCGGATTAGGGCGAATGGGATTAGTCCCCCTGATAGCGTCCTTTAAGGAACTCTGAGGTGGTTGAGGAGCACAGACAGCGAATACAAAAATTAAAATTATATGGCTATCTCTTATAAGCGAACCAAGAGACTTCTGAAAGCAAAAATGAAATAGAAAAAAATCAATTACCAACTTTCATTGTTGTAGAATCAGTAGAGGGTGATATATCAAAAGTGTCTCCTTTCATGTTGCAATGGGTTATTTCAGACATGATCAAACCACAATCTGTTAAAAAAAAAATAAAGAAAAATGATACACTATTAATTCAAGTGATATCCAAAAAAGTTGCAGAGAAATTGCTAAAAATCAAGCAAATCGACAACAATAAAGTCAAGGCCTATCCCCATCAATTTCTTAATTCATCAAAAGGAGTAATAAAATGCCCAGAACTGTCACTTCGTTCATCAGAAGAAATTGAAAATGACGAAATCCTATAAAAGCAAGAAGTAACAGAAATGACATAGTAATAAACATCAACATTTTGACATTCAACAAACCGACTCTACCAAAAGAAATAAAGATAGGTTAACAATAGCCAATGTAGAGCCATATGTTCCTAATCCCTAAATGGACATAGAGGAACAATACTTTAGCCCATCACAAACAAGGAATTAGTTATCATCTATACAAAGATCATTAAAAGAACCACCGTCAGTTGCAAACAAAAATGACCTTACATCTACAAAATTATTAAACCTGAAAAATTCAAACGAAAAAAAAATCCAAGAAATAGAAATATTGAATCATTCTCAAGAAAATGAAAAGTTACAAAAAAAAAGTAACTCTTCAGTTATTGAAAAACAAAGGAAAATGGATATTGAGGAACAAATCTTTAACCCATCACAAACAAGAGAAAGATTATCATCTAGACAAAGTTCATTAAAAGAACCAAATGGTAAAACTAAGGGAGGAAAATCAAACAAGAAAGTAGAAACAAAAGAAGTTCAAAGAACAAGAAACAAAATGCTAATAGTCTGAAGAATATAGAAATGATGGACACTTTACCCATAAAAAAAATTTGGACATGTAAAAATTCATAATTCATAATAGATAATCAAGATGCAAAACATCATTCAATGGAATTGTAGAGGATTAAATGCTAACATAAACGATTTTCTACTTACAACAAAGTATCAGCCCACAGTCATTTGCCTACAAGAAACTTTCTTAAAACGAAATGATAAAATAAAAAAATTACTCTCAATATAATTACATAAATGACACTCAACAGAGGGCATCTGGAGGTGTATCAATTCTAATAAGAAATGACATCCTTCAAAGTAAAATACCACTAGAAACCAAAACAAATATTACCAGCTATATATTTTTGAAAAAAAAAAAAATATATATTACCAGATATACATTTTTTAAAAAAAGGAAAAATATTACCAGTGATACATAATTGAAAGAAAATTATTACCAGAAATAGAATTTTTGAAGGAAAAATATTACCAGAAATAGATTTAAAAAAAAAAAATTACCAACAATAAAATTTTGTCAGTATTAAATGACCCATTGATGTTGATATGCTGTAAAACCAAACCAAACAAACATGCAAAAAAACAAAGCATAATATTATGTTGGATACAGGCTATACTAACATTTGTGGTAATAAGAATATCGACAAAGAAGCAAGAAATGCATTAAAGAAGAAGCCATCAAACATAAAAATACTGCATACTGATCTCAGACCAAGTATAAGAAAATTCATCATGGACAAATGTGAAAAAAAATGGAACAAGTGCATGAATAATAAACTTTATAGAATCCAACCAGATATCAAAGAATGGCAAAGTGGTTATAGAAAAATAAGAGAAGAATTGGTACTAGCTTGACTCTGTCTTGACCACACTTACATTACCCACAGCTATGTACTAAAAAAAAAAAAAGGAAGATCCACCTATGTGCTATACATGTAATAAACAATATAGAGTGGAAAACATACTTATAAAATGTATAGATTTAAGTTAGGACCATGAAAAGTATTATCAAGCAAACAACATGAATAAACAGGATTGATCCAAATAAATTTCATAAAGAAAAATATATTACAAAAATTTAAGCAATAACTAATATTGAAAAAATAAGTAAATGAATAAAATAATCTCCAACTGAACTTCATACCAAAGTCATTAACTTTAAATTTTACAAAGGCTATCACTTTCAACTAAATGATATTAAAATATACACAAACCATGATGCTCAATCAAATCTTATTTGGTATGAAATAACCTAATGAAGGTTGATATGCCTTTAAACCCTACAATCAACAACAAATCAAATCCACTTTACTACTTGTTCTTACAAGTCTTTTTCCACTTTCACAGATCAGTGGTTAAAAAGGACTTCAAGCAAATGAAGCCTGAATATTTATTCAAATCTAGTAAACTGACACTACAGAATCACAAAGAGTTATATCAAATAACAGAAACCCTATCATATGAGGACTTTCAACAACTGCAACAACTAAAATAGATAGCACATGAAACTCAAAGAGAAAATAATGGTAATAAAAAGGTTAACATTCCACACTGAAGTAGTGTTAAGAAGGAAGCCCTCATCACTACTGAAAATTGCAATAACAGCTAGTGAACCTATTTTTCTGAATGGGGAGCAGAGATGTGAGCTCGAAAGAGAAAAAGAATGCCAATTAATTCCAAAATTTATATCATCACAAGGTCTTTTTCAAAGAGAAAATCAGTAACTGGAAACTGCCTTTTGAGAGAGATAAAACTGTTTGTCTCAAATATGCACTTCTGTATTAAGTCAACCTAACTTATCAAACTTTTTCAAAATACAGATGCATCAGTTTTATGTATTGAAGATGAATAAGGAAAAATATTGTGGCTAATTCAGCAAATCTTGTCTCAATAAATCTTTTTTTTGTAAATGTTGCAAACTGAACCATCTATCAGTTATTCACTGTGACACTTTTGGGCTAAGTGAAATATTTAAATTTAAAAATTTTATTTAATCATAATTGTTGATTAATTCTCTATTCTGTTTAATCTTTCTCTATTCAGAACACACTGACAATTCAGCATGTATTTTGCTACATACATTCGTATCCTTAAGAAATCACCCAAATCAGAATTGTTGTCTTCTGTTCTGGAGGGATTGGCCAAGTAAGTATCCAGAGATTGTTTCAACTTTTAAGTTTAGTAAAGATAAAAAATATAATTGTTTCAATTTGTTTATGTAACAAATACCAATATGTGTTCACCAGATTGGTAGTTTTAAAAGAAAAGGAATTTATAAATTTTATTTTTTAATGTAACTAGTTAACTATGCATGCAGAACTAATAAATAGCAAAATAACTAAATGAGAATATAATAAAAAAAAAAAAACTGCTGATTGAAAGTATTATCATAAGCTGTGATCAGGCTAATTAAATAGCATTTACCTGCCTAGAGGCAATTGGCATTATTGGCATTCATTTGTAAATGTATTTACATGTTTGTCCAGGTAGACTTGCCTGCTTGAAAAGGACAAAATTTGGTATATGTAAAAATTAAAACCATATATGTTTAGAAAAAATAGTACATTTGGATATGAAAAAAGAAATCTTATTAAAAAAAAAAATTTAGATCCAGAAAAAAAAATACACAAACAAGAAGTTAGATACCTTTTAAGTGTTATTTTAAATTTTTATTCATTTATATATGGGAACAAATTTAGATATTTACAAAATATTATGAAAACAAATTTAGATATTTACAAAATATATTTTTAAACTGTTGTGTTAGCCAAAAAGTTTCTGTCTTTGTTACTAGATGGTTTTAGAAATGTTTAGTTTTAAATTTCATTCAAAATGATTGTTCTCAATTGAATTTTGAAAGCTTAATTTTAGTGCTAAAAAACACATTTTTAAAAAGAAGTGAACAAATTATTAAAATGGGACAGCTTGAATCTGTTTTTATAAACTGAAAGTAGCAGTTGTTCAGTAAGTTCTTAAGTTTGATCTTGAAAGCTACTCATTCTTACACTTGGGTAAAAACAACTATGTTCCTCAACAGCAAGTCAAGTTTATAAGATTTATAAAAATGGCATCAACTGCCACTTTCTGTATTTAATAATCACTTCTAGCTTTGTGTTACTTCTGGGGAAAAAATCATGCCGTCCATTTGGAAAGCAAATTTATATATAAACTGACTTTCTTTCCAACACTGGCACAAAATTCCATTCCTCAAAAACCTAAAAACTGACTACAAAATACATTTCTTTCTCTGCTTCTGTACTGTATTCAACTTTTTATACACACACACACACACACACCTTTCAGATGGAAAAATTAAAATTTTCTGATGTTCATGAAAAGTTTGATAATTGATTCCCAACACTAAGAATTATTTTACAAAGTTATAATATATAAATGACTTTTGTACATTTTCTTTGTGTGAATTCAAGCATGTTCAACTCATAAATATTTTGGTTTGTCCACTAATGTATTCAAAATATTACTGTAAAAATAAATTTTAAAAATTCAAATAAAATATTTCTATGATATTATATTATTTTAGTATTTTATGTTAAAAATTCTTCTTAGTTAAATTTTCAGTTAATTATATATATTACCTTGTTTGAGCATTTTATAAATTTCCATGAATTGAATGAAAACTAATTTATTGTAATCTAAAGAAAATCTTTTCTTTAATCTCAGGTTTGCTCACTTTATTAATATTGATTATTTTGGTGATCTGTTTTCTATTCTCAACCAGTTGATTGCTAGTGTGGTAAGTAACTTCAGGTCAAGTTTGATTTTTTTTTTTTGCTTTTTAATAAAATAACAAATTCCTGCAATTATATGACACGGCTAATCAAGATGTACATTGCCTACATAATGACTTTTATCCTAAGGTTTTAGTTGATATCAATAATTTGTAAATACATCACATTGCTATTAAACTATGCCATTTATGTGCATTGTACAAAAAAATTAACTATTTTGACAAGTGTTTCTTTCTACTAAATATCATCATCCTCAATAAATCAAATTATAATTCAATAAACTAAAAATTATCCAAGATTAACTCTTTGCTCTTATCCTGATATATAACTGCAATTGCTGAACACTTAAGAAAATTAATCTGATTCCATCACTGTTTTTGAATAAGCTAAAGACATAGTTTTGGTAAAGCTTCCTCACTAATTCCTTTGGTTTTCATTTATTTACTTTTGAAGGAAAATATTTTGAAATTAACACAAAAATAAATTCAGTCATCTTACCATGGGAGTGTTATTTCCATTTGATACAGTTTGTCTAACTTGTTTTGTTTTTAATAATTAATTCAAATTTTTGTTACTTTATATGCAGTTTGAAACATTACTTTTAAGAAAACATGTCCTTATAGGCTAAATTCAGTAACTCATATTACTGAAAAGATAATATAAATTATATATATTTTATATTTATGAAAGGAATGATTAGTGAAAATATAGTTTCATTAAACTTATTTTAGGATGATTTGATGGTTATATAAATCAAGGTGGTTGTCTAATAAAAATAGAGCCATATAAATATTTTGAAAATATTTATATAGTTATTTTATATGTGATGTCTGAAATGGACATGGATAAAAACTGCTTTTCTTATATCTTGGAACCATTAGTGTAAATTTATTTAATCCTTTATTTTTTGTAGGAACTGACAACTCAACAATCTCTTCACTGTGCACTTACAGCTTTCATCATATTATCAGGTCAAGGGAAGGTTCTAAACGTGGATCCCATACAATTTTACAAGCATGTTTATGCAAATTTAGTTAGAGTTGATGCAGGTTTGTTATTCTTTTATATAAATTGATTTTTATTATTTTAACGTTTTTTTCACATTTTTTTAGTTTTAAAAGAAAAGAAAAATTTCTATTAAATTGTAAAGATTAAATTCTGATTATCATTGTTTCTCCATTAAGCAAAAAGGCTAAAAACATGCAATCTTTAAATATCTCCAAAAAGCCATTAAGCAAAGATACACAAAAATAAGTTTCTCGCTTCAGATATAACTTTGTAATGGAAGTAGGTTGTCTCCTTTGATGAAAAAAAAAAATGAATTATAATTTTGCTATGATATAATTATGCAAGTATATTTTTAGATTTACTTTCCAATTATTGTCAACTTGTTCAGTAGTATTCATTAGGCTCTAATTCTATTGAATAACTACTGACTAAACTACTAAGCTTTTTTTTTAGTTGACATTTACTTAAAATGAATTAATATTACATACATTTATCATTGGTGAATTGGCTTAAACTCAATTTAAATTCAAATTGTATAAAAATTAACAAATCTTGTTAATTCTGAATGAGAAACATCTTGTAATTGAATCAACTTATCACTGCTATCAATTGATCAACTTATCACTGCTATTACTTGACATCATTTTGAATGTGTATACTTGGGATTTTATTTTTCAGGCTCAACAAATGCTGATCTTAATATAATCTTAGAGTGTTTAGAGGCAATGATTTTTAAACGTAAGAAGCAGGTGAGTTGTTTGTTCTCTTATTCTGTATGTATTTCCATTTTAATATACAAAGTTTTTCTTTCTAACAGTTTACTCAAATGCAATATCTATTTTCTGTGATGTTTAGATGTTGTGTAAATACATCATCAAACTACCAGACTATCAACATTTTTTAACATCACTTGTAAAAACTGACAGTGTCTTATTTATCTAACAGCAATTCACAATTTTTTTTCCTTCTTGACATGATTCAAATGACTTGCAAATTTTTTATTTTTCCAGTTGACCAAATCACGTATAATGGCCTTCATGAAGCGTCTCTCTACTCTGTGTCTTCATGCATTACCTGAAATCTTCTATAGCTCTCCTTGGCGTTGTTCGAAGTATTGTTCATGTAAGTAACAAGCTATATATATATATATATATATATATATATATATGACAATAGGAAACTAATAGTTGCCAACATGTTTCGTCCAATGTGGACTTTCTCAAGGCAAAAACGAAAATGAATTTATTTAAATAAAGTAACTAATAATAACAAAAAAACAAAATGTTCTTAGCAACTGGAAAAATTTAGAGAACGCTATTTTCATACTGTTAACAAAAATTACGTCATTTACTGTCATGTGTGGAGATATTGTTTTTATTGCTGTGTTGATGGATTCAACCATTTTCTTTTGATTTCTTGATACTGTTGTGTACATTTGTTTGGGAGAGTAATAATTCTGTTAAGAAAGGTGAAATAGGGAAAAAAAGCCTGGGTATAGATTAATATTTGGATAATATTCAATGGCGGCACTCTCTAGGATTTTCCTTCTGAGTGAGTTATTTTCTTTTTTTATTTTTTATGTAGCATTTTTAAAATCAAAATTGTGGTTGAATTTATTTCTATGTATGACTAGTGCATTAGCTAAGTTGTTTTTTTGAGGTCTCTTTTTTGCTCATAAATGATTTTTTTTTAAATTTCTACTTGTTTCTCCAATATATTGGGAGGAACAATTTTGGCAATTTATTTTATAAATGCCTGCTTCAGAAATATTATTGCTATTAGTGTTTGAGGATCTGAGTATATCCATAATGGTTTTGGAAGTGTTTGTGACTATTTTAAGATTATTTAGATGGGATAGGTTGTTCTGGATAGTGGACGTGACAGAGTTGGTCAGTAGTATTATGTATCTGTTTTCATGTAATTTATTATTGTGGATTATGTTATTAGTTTTGTTTCGGTTGTATATTTTGTATGCCTTTCTTCTTGCGTTGTGGATGAAATGATATGGGTATTGTAGGTTTTTGAATGTGTTTTCTATGTATGTTTCTTCTTTAGGTAAATATTGGGGACTGCAGATTCTTAATGCTCTCAGATAGAAACCTATAATAATTCCAGATTTAATTTTAGAAGAGTGGTTTGAGTAGAAACTGATCAGATCATTTGTGTTTATAGCCTTTCTGTAAACGTCAAAATTGAGTTTATTATTTCTAATTAACAAAATGTCCAGGAACGGAAAAGTGTAGTTGGTTTCAGTTTCAAAAGTGAAGTTTATTGTAGGTTTAACATTAAGTTTGGAGAGAAGATCCATTAAATTGGTGTTTTTTGGATATAATAATAATGAGTCATCTATGTATCTGAAATATGAAGAGTTTGTAGGGAGAATATTTTTGAATGAGTCACTTTCTAGAAATTCTAAAAATAGACAAGCAAGAACGCTGCTGAGATCCCATTGGTTAACCAAATTTCTGTCTGTAATGTTGGTTATTAAAAGTAAAGAAACATTGCTTGGTAATTAGTTGGTATATTTTTATGATTTTATGTGTAGATAGAGGTAATTTAATTTTTGCTTTTGTCGTTTTTTTTTTTGTTTTTTTTTTTTAGAAGATTTAAGCATTTCTGTATGGGGACATTTGTGTATAGAGATTTTATATCTAACCCGCCATATATTTGTTTTTAGTGTCTATGTTTTTTAATTTGCTTAGGAGATCGCCTGAATTTTTTATGTCTGATTGGCTAATAGTGCCAAGAAGTGGAGTTAAAATTCTGCTTAGTTTGCGGGCTATTTTATGTGAAGTGCTGCCTATCCCTGATATGATAGGTCTCATTGGTATGTTTGATTTATGCGTTTTTGGTAATCCATATAATATGGGTGTTTTTGGATGGTATTCAATAAGCTTTACCCAGGAGAAGTCTTCATTTTTTAGTAGTTTTTTGATGTCGCTTGTAAATTTTTGTGTTTCTTTTATAGCTATGTTTTCATTTACTTTTTCATAGATGTTATCGTTAATGAGCTCTCTCATCTTCTGTTGGTAAATGTGTTTATCCATGATTACAATTCCCCCGCCCTTATCAGAAGTAGATATATGGATGTTTTTGTTGTTAGCTAATCCTTTCAGGGCTTTGATGTATCTTTGAGGAAGTGTGGTGTCATTCGTATTTTTGGTGTAGCTGTGATTAGGCCCTGGATATAGCCTTTGGTAAAATCAGTCATTGTGGTGATGATTTTTAATTATGTAATCTGTGGTATCATATTTTGGTATTCCAGTGGCAAATTTCTGACCAAAGCTGAGTACTTCTAGTTGTGGATCCGATAATTGGAATTTGGATAAGTTTGTTATTAGGTCTTTTCTGTCGACATTGGACCATTTGTTATTATTAATGAGTTTGTTTTGCAAAACATAGACTTTCTTATTATTATAGTTGATTGATCTTTTTACTTCATTCCGTTTGTGTTTTTGTAGGTGACTTCCTGTCATATATGCCTTATGGTAAAGAATGGCTTCTTTTTCTTCTTCTAATTCCTGTATTGAGTTTTTTTAAAATTCATGGATATAAGGAGGGAAAATATGGGGCAACAATTTGATGAGCAATTTCTAAGAAAATTTTTCTTGTTTTTATATGAATTGGCAGATGTTAGTTGTTTCCTGTATATTCTGACTATATCTGTGTATGTTTTTGTTTTTCATGTCGACAAATATGAAAAATTTCTCAGAGTTAACCTGTAGAAAAAGACAATATTTATAAATACAAATGACATTAGGAAAACTGTAATAGTTGCCAACACGTTTTGTCCAATGTGAACTTTGTCTAGGCAAAAAAACAAATATTAATCTATGCCCAGGCTTTTTCCCTATTTCACTTTTCTTAACAGAATTACTACTCTCCCAAACAAGCGTACACAATGGTATTGTGAAATCAAAAGAAAATGGTTGAATCTCAACACAGCTATAATAACAATATCTCCACGCATGATTGACGTAATTTTCAGTTAACAGTATTCATCAATGTAACACAAATGATTTACAGCTATTTCCTTCTCTTCTCATATTCTTTCCTGTTCAATTCAAACTACAATTTCGTGTTACCAGAGAAAGGTATTATTTGAAATGTTTTAAACTAAACACAAAACAATTAGTAATTGTCTCTTTATTTATTTGTAAAAATAATTTATTTGGAGTGTTTTTTTCTCCATGATTAACATAAAATTAAATTAAAATACTATTTTGTCTTTTTTGCAGGTGCATAAAATAACAAAATTATCAAATCAATAAAAGGATGCTTAATTGTGCATAATTCTTATTTTGACTTGTAATCACATTTAATTCAATTAACAAGACATGAATGCTAGTCTTGTTTACTTCCATGAATATACACTTATTCTACTGCTCCTGTCAGTTACTTAAATTCTACAAAGATTCTATAGGTTCTCCCCAACTCACTATGCTATTGACTGAATTTCACTCACATATCTGCTGTATTAGCACATTATCTTTGAAGAATTATATAATGATTTAGTTTTAGAGTAAATTTTTTAAACCCTTATTGATTAGGACATCATTTTGATGTTATCTTTTCTTTATACTTTTTTAGTAATTTATTAATATATAATACTAAAAAAATCTACAGACAGAAGAAAAGTAATTGAATCCTATGATGCTTTAGTCATTTCCAATAGAGAGCTCAGTATTTCAAATGGCTTTCAAAATAAAAGCTAGCAATTTTATAAATTAAATGCTGTATTTTAAATAAAGTTTCTTTGAAAAGATTACAAAATGTAAATAATATTTCTGGCATCATCATACAAATCCTTTACATTCTCCCAAAATGCTGGCAATTATTTATTTATATTTTTTTTTCATGGTAGAGAACTCATTCCTTAATGGGAAACTTTTTTTTATATTTTTGCAGAGTTTTCCTTGTTCAGACATAATGTTTGAGAATGATTACTTGTCAGGTAGTGGTGCCTTTATGCCTGAATTAAGTGATCCAGAGTATTGTAATGCCAGCAACACTTGCTTATGGGAACTTCATCTTTTAAAGGTAAGCATGTTCATTTTTAGTGATAAATATAAATTTATAAATTTATCTTTGAATCTTTGTGAGAGAAAAATTAGGGGTTCTTTGTTAAATATGATAATTTCATGAATATCAATTTAGTAATATTTATTTTATTTTTCTAATCATTTCACCCCAAACAAGGCAATAAAGCCACTAAGACACAGGGGGTTACTGAAAGAATATAAGAAAAAAATTCTGTCAATGAGAGAGAACAATAAATGAACAAGAATTAAGAAGACAGAAGATAACAATTGACATTGCATTTAAAATTTTTGAAAATCAAAGTTGACTGGGGAGTAAGAATCTGGAAGAAAGTTCCACAAGTGAGAAGTGCGAGAGAAGAAACTGTTAGCATAGAACTTACAGTTACATCTAGCCATTTCAAGTGTAAAACAATGAGACCTTGCTGCCAATGTAGTACTGCACTTAAATTCATAAAGTCTAGGTACCAAAGAGGAAAGTTCATCAGAACAATTACCATGAAAATCTTTATAGAAAAAGGCACAGGAAAGCTAAATTACGGCAGTTGAGATGCCAGGTCAGGATCAATAACATCGCAGATTCTTCTTTGCATTTTATTAAGAATCTCTAAATATATAGCAGGTGCACCAGACCAGATGTGGCAGCAATATTCAAAGCAAGGACAAATAGTAAACTTATAAATATGTAAGATAGATGCAGGAAAAATTGTTTAGCATGACATGGGGAACAAACTTTACTAACATAGACATATCAATTTATTCAATATAAGCTTTCTACTTCATGTCAGTGAAAAATGTTAGTTCGAGAAGGTGCAATGAGTCACTCTCCTGGAGATTAGTATCAGCTGTGCTGATGGAAGTTAAAAAAGGTTATTTCAGACAATTAAAAGAGAGCAGTTTCATTTTGGAGATATTAAAATTAACAAGCCATTCTTTGCCCCTGTTCTAGAGTCATTTTTTAGTTCTGCTGCCAATTTGACCTCTTATCATACTGATCAGACTTACTATTAAGACAGATGAAAATTAGGAACAACATAAGTCTAAGCAAACACCTGCATTAATGCTAAAAGAGCAGCCATTTAAGACAAATTTCACTTTGAGATTTGATAAGAAAGACTGAATCATTTCAAAAATTTGTCCAGAAATAAATACCATAACCTTTCAACTCTTGAAATCCAGTGTACCAAATCTTGTGAAATTCCTTTGAAACATCCAAAGTAACAGCAGCAACCATTCTTATTCTTCAGTTATTGCTGAAAGAATCTATCAAGCTTTAAGGTTGATAGATTCTTTCAGCAATAATTGTTAATACATCAGCAGTTGACCTAGAGAAGTGAAAGCCATATTGCTTATCTGAAAGAAGATCCTGCAATGTGAGATACTTAAACAATTCAGAGTTAATTAGAGCCTCTAGTACTTTGCCAGTAGGAAGCTAATAGGCCGATAAAAGGATCAGATGGATCAGATGCTATGCCTAAGTTCTTAGAAACTGGAACTACAGAAAACGATTTCCAACAAGCAGGAAAGCAAGAAGCAGTAAGGCATTTATTGTAGAGTTTAGAGAGAAACAGGAGCACATTTCTTAAGGACTATTGAAGAGAATACTATGTGATGACCCAGTTTGATAGTAGAAACTATGAACAGAATTATATGCATATCACTCAAAAGAAACTCTGTTGGAAAGTCCTACAAAAATACTCCAGATAAGTCAAAAGTAGAATTTGAAGTAAATTTAAAGGCAAAACATTTTGCTTTATCAGCAGAATGTGTTAACACCTCAAATGATGAAGAGAGGAGGAAGAGACTTATACTTATTTGACACACTATTAAAGGGCCACAACTAAACCAAACTTATTAGAGACTATATGGTGCCTCATTTTATCTGCAAACAAAGACTTACCTTCTTTGAGGACACATTTACAATTGTTATTATTGTAAAATCACCAAACACAAAAATATTCATAGATGAATGAATATTTATGTAAAGGCCTGAAAACTGATCAGTGTCTATTAGTATATTATATATATTAGTATATTGCAGTATGGCTCTTTTGTAGCTTTTAGCAGCATTTTAGGAAACAAATTCTACAAATATACAGAAATCGATATGACAGCAGAAAATTTGGTTAAATTCTTTACAATTAAAATCTACATGTAGATGTGATTGACTTTTATTGTTTTCATACAATAAAACTTCTTTTTTGTTTTTGTTTTTTTGCTTTTTTTTTTTTTTTTTTTTTTCAGAATCATGTATGTCCAAATGTCAGTTCCTTTGCCAATCATGTCATTCATCAGGCACCATTAGCTGGAACAGGAAAATTGCCATCTCACCTGGCCAAATTGTGAGAGGCTTTTCTTATTTGAAAATCAACCTGTGTGTGTGTGTGTGTGTGTGTGTGTGTACACACACTTTAAACCTTTGCATAAATGCCCTTGAAAAAAGCATAAATCTCTCTTCTCCATTCACTGTTATGGGTTAAATAACAGGGTAGACTATGCTCTCTAGCCTTGGGTGGCAACTAGTCTAAGAAGGAAAACTCTGAATTACAAATTGTGGAGAAGGTAACAGGAAATCAGTCTTTCCTAGGAAGGCATGGCAATTCACAAATAAAGGGAAATGAATATGAGGAAAGTCATGATTGCCTTTGAAAAGCCTCCTTTTTTTTTCTTTTTCTTTTTTATTACAATAATATTCACCTTGTACACTAGGCCCGAGAGCCACTCGAAGTAGAGTGTTATAGATTAAGAGGCACAGTTTATGGGAATATGTGGGGAAAATAACAGTCAACCCTAGACTAAAACAGGTTAAGACTGTAGTGATCAGGGAAGCATCCTCTTGAAGGTCTCTTCCACAATGCAGCATTGCAGTTTTTAATGTTACTAAGCTACAAAATAGCCTTATTGATCAACATTATAAAATACTCATTTAACTTTTCAAGGGGAAAGGAGTTGGTTATAATTTAAATTCAAAAACTCAAACATGTAATCATCCCAGTTATAGAAGGATTATTTTATGGTTATAAATAACATTAATTAAATTAAAATGGGAATTAATTTAAAACTTATTTTGTTCCTTTTGATAAATTTAATACAGGTTGAGTATCCTTTATCTGAAAACCTCCAAAATCTGAAAGTTCTTCAAGTGCTAACATGACTTGCCACAAATGGAAAATTTCAGAAAGCATTGGGAAGGTTCTTAGGTGATATGCCAACTGTTGTAAGTGACCTCATCTGGCCTTGGGTGGGAGTTCTCCAGCTCAGCTACCAGTTTTTTGTTAGCAATCATCACAGCAGCACATTTGTTCATGGATTACTTACCAGATGTTTTGTGCTCTGTAAAGATATTATTCAAAATGTCAAAAAAATCCTGCAGATACCCATATGGGTAGTGAAAAGAAAAAAAAGAAAGCGTTTATGTTTATCAATATCACAATCAAATTGTTGGAAAAACTAGACAGGGGTGTCAGTGTGAAGTGTCTGACAGGAATTTGGCATTGGAACAACCACCATATACAACTTAAGGAAACAGAAGGAGTGATGAACAGAAATTAATGAAAAATAGAAAAACTGCACAGAGCAAAAAATGATGATCTCAATCGTGCATTGATGGAGTAGAGTCACCAATGTTGGAATGAATATATGCTGCTTATATAAAACTATCTTCAGGATATATGTATAAGCTGTGTTATGAAATGTAAAGTTCCCAAGCTGCCCCATTTTATTGATGCTAAATACAAATTAAATAGCTTGTATTCCAAAATCCAGAAAAATCTGAAGACCAAAGCACTTCAAGTCCCAAGAATTTTGGATAAAGAATTCTCAACCTGTAAAAAAATCAAACTATTTCTTGAACTGAGTTAATGATTGTTTCAAACCTAATTTTAATTTTTTTTTTTTAATTACATTGTTATCTTTCCAAATTTATAACTATCTTATAACATTCTCTCTCTCTCTCTCTCTCCATTTATCCTGATGGTTATATTCACAATTTTAATAAACCAATAGATGAACTTTACATGTTATATCTATAAATATGTGGAATTTTTGCATTTTAAACCTAATAGTCTGTTTCTTTACATTTTATGATAGATGATAGGAATCAAAATTCATAAATTTCAAGGTTTTTGTAAACATAAGCTTGTGGAGTGAGGGAGTACTTTAAAGTTTTCAGCCTAATCAAGAAGTGATTTAAAAAATGTAATTTTTTCAGATTTTGGAAAGTGGGTCAGGCTAAGGACATTCAAACACTGTTGATTGATATCTTGAATAATGATCTGTACAAGTTATTAATACAGTCAAGAAGGCCAATTTATTGATGATTTTCTTTGTATTAAATTGTATTGAGAATCTCATACATTTCCGATAATCCAAGAGTATTAGCACCTTTTTTCAGTTAGAGTATTACTCTCAGCCAGATAGTTAAACCAAGTGACAATGTTCTTAAAGATCTTTCTTCATATTTCATTACTGAAGATCAGTGATAATAAAAGCTATACCTTCTTCCTGTCAGTATGTCCAATCTCCCCTGGAAGTATATTTGCATACAGAATGTTAACTTTTCCATTATGATACTAGTGGTGGATTGCATTCATTATATCAAATCACTGATAGAGCCTTATCTGTTTGAACCCGAGTGAATGTTTTATTTTCACAAAGTGGCTCGGTTCTTTACAAAGGATGAAACCTTACTTGTCAGCGGACTGACAACATCTACATTTTATGAATGGTATACCAAGCGAAGCTTAAATAAACACTATTAGATTATTTGTTTACACTATTTATTAATTATATTATTTATTGGAATGGTTGGCAAAACACCAAACTTTATAAAATTGTAAATAATAATATTATTTGATTCCGATATTTTTAGTAAACGTTCTATGAATAAAAAATTGTTTTCACATTTATTTTTTTATAAATTAGTAAATGATAAATATTGCATTGCATTAGTTTTAATTGTATTAGTTTTTAGAATCTTGTAAATATAAAATTATTCTGGTAAATAAACAATCTTATAAATAGTGTTTAATATTTTTGTTGTCAATTCTCAAAAACAAAGAAAATATAAATTTACTTTCATAAGTTTAGGTTTTATTCCAATTCTAATCATTGCTTTTTAAAACAAACATTGCTGAAGAATGAAGGTAATTAAAAAAATGGTGTCATGGAAAAATACATCTTTTTGATACTATATCTTATTGCAGGCATGTTTTTTACTTTTTCCTTTTTTTTATTTCAGGTCTGCCATGGAATTATATGAGAAATTTTCTGCTGAATCTACAATCTTTGGCAATGGCTAACATTATCTTTTAATAAATTAAATTTACATAAATTTATTTCTTTATTGTTCTTTTTTCATACATTATTACTGAATAAATGAACTTAAAAATAAAATCTAGTTAGGTTGTTTTAATAAAAGTAGAACTTTGCAAGTGTATCTCAATGGTTAGTGGGAAACAAAAGGGTTTTCACAGCTTGATGCAGAATGAAAAATAATTGCATTTTGAATATGAACAATCTGTGGTTCTTATATACTTCAGTATAATTGTTTATTGTCATATTCTGATTTCAAGGTAATTATTAATGAAATTATTTTTTCCTGCTAATATAAATTCAGGCCAATTAAACCTAAGTTATACTGAAAAAGAACACAATCAAGAAATATTTGGCACAAATGGAAAGTGTTTTATTTATATATATATATATATATATACACGCATCTTTCTTTAGGCACCATGCATGATGTATAATTGGATGATCATATCTGTTTTTGATTCATCATAGATGAATTCTCACAAGCTGCTGTTATTTCCTTCACTAGGCTGGTTACCAACCAAGGCTTTAGGAACCAGTCTGCCCTGCTATTTAGACCATAGCTGGAGGTAGGGGAAATGGCTTTCCCAAGTGATGTTACACATAAGGTAATGTAACAAACGGCTCTCCAATTTCTCATTCTGAGTCATTATCCATTACATCACTTGCACATCTAATCTTACAGCACCTAGTATTCTCAAATGGCCACCCAAATGACCAGACTCAGAGTTGCTTAACTTTGATGATCAAATCAGAGCCAGTGTTTCAATGTGATATGGCCATAAGCATAAAATAAATTACAAACTTTGACACAAATTCCACTACTAAACTCACCATTTAATATGAATTTTACTTCATAAGAAGAAAGTATTAAATCTGTTTATAAAGCCTAATGTTGCTAAATCATTAGGGCTTGTAACCTCAATTGCCATTTCCTCAATGATTGTTTAGTGCCTTATCAGTTTTTAGCATATGAATAAATAGGTTTCCTACAATGATATTTCCTGTGATTCTGGAATATTTCAAGCTTAAAAAGCCAGTTTCAATGCCAGCAAAAGAGAAAGGAAACAAAACAATAGTTGCATTGAAGTGTAATTTCTTTTCAAGAATGTGAGTGAATTTTGTGATAACAAACAAAAGGTGAGCTGTAAATATAGAGGATTTTGTTTTCAGTGATGTGAATTTTTTTAACACTCCCAGGACATTGAAGACAGGAAAACATCAAATAACCCCTCCCTAACAAGATGTCATTGAGGACAGTGAGGGATGGTAAAGAATCAAATGTTTAGAGCTACAAAGGAAAGGAGGTTGTGGGGAGTCGTGACCGCCTACGTCCTGGAGGTACGTAGCTTATAAAAGATGTGAATTTTGTTAATAGCTGGCACAGTAAAGATTTCAGTAATCATCTGCTCTAATGGCAACCTTTGTATAGGCATTAAAAATCTTATCAATCCTGCAGTTCAATTAAGATAGAAGTTGAACAATCATCAATATTAGATCTTTAATAGAACATTAATGCATTTAACTGATATAACAATATTTAAAATACTTAAAGAAATATTCATGCAAAAATTCCCCAAACTCTTATAAATTCCAGAAATTGTTCTTTCTTTTTCATTTTTAAATGTTCAAATTTAATGAAAAATCTTCTTGGTCTTTCATTCCCTATATTGTATTAACATATTAATACAATACAGTAATACAGTATAAGTTCACTTTTTTTCACTATATACAATAATACAATCAATTATGTATGTAGTTTGTTTTTCCTCAGAGTTGGACTTCAAATATTGTCAGTATTTTTAATCATACATATGTTAATTGTTTAAGTCAAAATACAGATTATAATCTTAATTTGTTTGCAATTAATCCTACATAATAAAACTGATGTTAATGTTTTTTTTTCTGATTTGCTTGATTGATCTGCAAATAATTTTTTATCAGTTTTTCTTTTTGATTAGTTCTTAGTGCGAAAGTAGTACCAGAATTTACTTCTGCCATTAAGCTATAAGTGAAAGTTTTTATTTTCATTTATCTGAGATAAATTCAATGTGCCCATTGTTTAATTTAGACAATGACAATTGCTGTCATCAGAAAAAAAAAGAAATTTTGAACACTATAATTTAAGATTTAATTTTTATTTCTATCTTTTGTTTAGCTTTTATGATTTTTTTTTTTTTTTTTTTGCGATTTCAGTAAAAGCTGGTACCCATAAAAAGACAAAATTTTCAATTAATGATCATCTAAGGCAGATCCTCCATTTCGGAAGATTGGTGTAAAGTCCATCTTAACCTGTATCAACTTTAGTAAATGCAATAAATTCTAAAGTTGAATTGTGCCTTCTGCAGTGGGGAATCAGACTTTGAATTCCTGCTTTATATGCAGGGATAGTGATTACTACAGAAAGCCTGAGATTTTGTTCTTTAAAATCATTGCTGTAAAAAAAATGAATTTATTCTCTCACTGATGATATTCACATTATTAGTAGTTGTGAAATCTGTAAAAAGGATCAAACATGTTTCTCTGTAACAAAAATTTTGAAAGCATTATTTTTTCTCTTAGAAAAAAATTTCCTAAATGCCACTGTTATCTATACATAATTTTTTTTATTAGAGTGTGTTCGGAAGACAAAGTTGCTTCTCTCAATCAAGTACCAAATGGCTGATTAATTTTTAGAATTTCAACGATAATACACTGGACGTCAGCTCATTTTGACAATGACATTCTTATCACGTGATGTACACTTACAAAATTTCTTGCACAAAAACTCTTTGTACAAAAGTTGTTTTACGAGCCATATAATGATATATGCTTAAACAATTGGTGTACATCATTTTCAAAGAATACAAATGTTTTGCATATTTATCCGCCTACAAACACTCAACCCCATCACATGGACATCATATTCTTTAAGGTTTTTTTTATGAATTGTTATTTTATTTGCTTTCTTTTCTTTTTATCTTTTTTCTGTTTCTGGCAATGAATATGTTTAACAATAGAAATAAGAGAACTAGTGAGTACCAAGTGAAAACAGAAATTTGAAAAAAGTACTAATGTTTTGCTTTCAAACTATCTTTTTATCTTATAATTGTTGAACTTGTACCCTATGATGGTGCATAATAAACTTGTCTCCTCAAATCGATTCACTGTAATAATGATTGCTGAATGCTTTATACTATGGCCTTGTGCCAGAAAAAGCCTAATATTGACCAAAATATTTCCGTGGTTATCATTAAACGGCACTAGGAGCATTTTTTGCTGTAACTAACAAAGTTCACTTGATTTTATTGTAACAATTGTCATATCAGCAAGCATTTTTTGTTTTTATTAATTGTTGCATTTATTGACTCTAATATTCAAAAAATGAAAGAAAATAAGCAGCATTTTCGTAATTTTATGCTCTCTTTATTTCCAAATAAATGATAAAAATACAACTCAAACGTGAAGTAGATACGAGGATTATTCACCAACATTACTTTAGTGACCATAGTGTGAACCAATAATAATCGAATGATGTTTTGTGCTGGAAATTTCTCGCTGAATCCTTACGGCCTGGTAAAGCAGTTGAGATTGATAGTGATTCAATCGAGATATTACTTGAGAATAGTAAGTAATGATATGTGACTCGGGGGCAGGCAACAATAGCATACTCATTTTAAATTTGAATATATTGCCTTGAAAACGTTAAATACCAATCAAGCCAAATGAATTCGGTACAAGGAAAAAGATAGAGGAAAAAAGACGCCATTTCATAACAACAAAGAAAGCAATAAGTTTTTTTATTCAGCTTTAACTAACTTAACTCTCAGTTTGGTGGCGCTGCAATCTTCCTTACTACAGCCGATCGAGCAAACTTCAAACAGAAACTATATCGACAGCTGTCTGAGTACAATCACTAATGACTAACTTATCAGGTTTGAATCCAATTTTCCTGATTTTGACTGTTCAGCGAACAGAAATTCTTATAAGTTTATTTATTTTTCCATTAGCCTCTTGCCAACTGTAGATTTCATTTGGTTGCAAAATCCACACTTGTAATCGTGTCGCATATGTTAAAAATAAAATAATTTTCGTTGCTTTAAATAATCATAATGAAAATATTCCGTTTTCGGAACTTTTTGACGGGCGATGAAACAAGCGAACTGAACCACCGAACAGTAAATATTAAAAAAACTAATCTATGCAAACAAAGTGATGCCTTTTTTAAACCCAAATTTCGGTTCTATTTGAAAAAGTTAATCCGAAATAAAAGAAAAATAAATTAATGTATATATAAACATTTTAGGCGTTTTAAAGCATTTACTTTACTTTCTTCGTCACTTAGACTCACTGAGCCGCCATCGCATGCAAAAAAAAAAAAAAAATGTAAACAACAAATTAAAAATTCTCTTTAAAATCCAATATTTAGTCTAGAGATGTGTTTCGAAGTCTGTTAGTAAATTTAAGGACTAATTAACTGGACTTTCTAAAAATAATGCTTGCTTCTTTTACTTTAAATCAGAATTAAAATAATATTTTTTTATTTACACATGTCAAATGGAAATACTGTAATTAATTCTACTCCTGTCCGACAAAACGCGGAAGAAACTAAAAATAAAACCTAAAAAATACGGAAGACCAACAGTGCAATAATTAAGAATTTGTTATTTTTGTGTAAAAAAAAAAAAAAAAATTTTCTTTAATCTTATATAATCAATAGTTTAAGAATATAATTTTTTATTCTATGGGCTTCGTATAATGAATTGAAGACATTAAAGGCGCTACCTAAACAAAAATATAGCGTAAAAATGTAATTTGCGTTAAATTAAATGCGAAAGGAAAAACATACCAAGAGTAAGTTTTAGAAAAATTTATACACCAGAGTATTTTGCTTACTGGAAATAATAAATGTAATCATTCAACTTTCAATTAACGCTAAAAAGAAAGCTTCAAGAATGCTTTTTCAGTTTTTAAAATTCATAAACCTTAGGTATCGAAATTAGTGGAG